AAGGTTTGCCTCTCCTCCAGCAAATCCCCAGAGGACTGTTCTCTCCGGGAGTGAGTCAGAACAACACAAGGCTAAGAGCACGGCCACCCACTCGGCACCTGTGTGTCCCCAGCTTGTTCTTAACCTCCTGGAACTCAGTCTGCATCAGTAATATGAGGACTTTTGACCATAGTTTCTAATAATAGTAGCAGCTCCCTCCAAAGGTTATTGTGAGAAATCAATTGATGCATGTAAATAATTTGTATTTTGTATGCACAAAATAAATGAAGACAAAGCACAGATGCTCCCTATTACGAGGTTACTTAACCTAAATACTTTTTCACAAGGGACCTTGGAGATCACACAATTATTAGCTGATATTTACAGAGCACCAGGAAAAGTCCTGAGATAAATATTTTCTATGGTCATGCACATGAGATGGAGCTTTCTAAATCTAGTTCACTCTGACATTCAAAGTAATGATGTTACACTGTAAAATAATAATAATATCATGATTCGCCAATATATATTGAGCAGTTACTGCTGCCTTCTTCCATATTTTTCATGTTTTATTATTTACATTCCTTTCCACCCAAACGAAATACAAACTCTCTCACCCTATTGACCAATGTACTGTACTCAATATATCATCAAGTATAAGGAATCTATAATGTGTATGGTTAAATAATTTAATGCCTGATCAACTTGGAGTTCTTGGGCCACCTGCAGTGAATTATAGATTAGTTAATAAATGTAATGGAGTGCAGTCTCAACTGAATGTACTGTTTCGTGAACAGCAAGAGATTCTCGTTCTACAATAATACAGGTAGGCCCTGCTTTCAAAAGTTCGCTTTTACACCACTTCACTTTTACGGAGACCTACATTGGTTCCTGTTTTCGATAACTAAAAGAAATCTGAAAAGGATTTTGCTTTTATGATAAAAGGTGAGAAGCGAAAATAGCTTAGAGTGTTTGTGTTGCAGGGTGTGACCTGAGCAGGGAAAGGGGCCCCCGCCCAGCTCCTTCCCCAGGAACTGCGCTCAGCATCTCAGCATTAAGCCCTCACAGCTGTGCACTGTCTGGAAGCATCTGTGCTTTGTCTTCATTTATTTTGTGCATCGTTCCCAAGATGTGTCCTAAGGCAATTGCCTCTTTGCTTTACACAATTTCAGTTTATGAAAGGTTTCATGGGCACCCTCTATGTTGGATAGCAGGGGAAGCCCGTGCATGCTTAAATAAGATGCTTATCGTTGTAGTAAGTAAAAGCATAAAACGTTCTATTTCTTCAGTCGATCATGATCCTCTGGTCCCAATCAAATTTTAAAAGGAAAAATCCTGTGTTCTATGGTACCTTGAGCTTCTGAACACAGGATTAGAGCTGTGTTCATAAATGCTTCTACCACACTTGACTCTGGAGAGAAATCCATTCCTTAAATAATTACGGAATGCCTTCAATACGCCAGGCACTGTTCTAGGTTCTAGAAAAACTGCAGTAAATAAAACAGCAAAATCCTTGCCATCTTAAATTGTACCTAGTGGAAGGGAAAGCAACACAGTAAATAAATGTGTTAACATGGGAATCTGGCTCAGTTGCAGGTGAGGGACCCAGGCTGAGGGTTGGAAAACACTCCCTCATACTCCAGTGAATACTATGGCAAAGGGCATTTGATTCAACCTGTGGTTCCTTGTTTCACAGAGGATATGCAAGAGAATATTAAAGAAGCTGAAGGAGATGGACATTGTCGAGAGAATTCCAAGCCTAGTGAGAAAGGTTTTGGTGAGACCACCCTGGGAGCTCAGGGGACATACTACACTGAAAGCCACTCTGATTTGAGAAATCCAAAGATGAGACTCTTGCTGAGGGAAATAGCTGCACACTGACGGCTGATTGAAGGTGCCTGTTCCCCATGCTGTGAGTGTGCGCCTGAGTGTGTGTGTGTGTGTGTGTGTGTGTGTGTGTGTGTATGTGTGTGTGGGGTGTGTGTGTGTGTGTGTGAGAGAGAGAGAGAGAGAGAGAGAGAGAGAGAGAGAGAGAGAGAGAGAGAAGAGAAAAAACACTCTAGAGCCAACTTAAAGTCACCTTGCCTAAGAAAGACTATGGGAAAGGTCAGCATTAGAGCAAGGAGATCAAAGGGAGCCATAGCCAGTGGGTGGAGAGTCTACAGGCAGCCATCTTGGATGCTGGGAAGCGCCGCCATCACTGGGCGCTGGAATATGCTTAGTAATTCCTAAAAACTCCTCCAACTCTCAGATTCAGCAATTCAGAAGACACCCCCAAGTAAGTTACGTGTATTGAACCCCCAAGCAATTGTCTTCACTCAAACTCCTTTTTTGTAACTTAACAACATGTCTATATGTAACTAACATCTCCTGATCTCCCTCCATCTCCCACACAGTTGTTTCCAGCCTGACAGCAAATCTGTGTCTAGTCACAGGTGTGCGGAAAGCCTTGGGCACACTCAGATGATCCGTGTCCTGCTGGGAGCCCTGTGGACACCCCAGTGCAGAGATGGCTTTCACACGTAGGCCACTTCAAGAACTACAATAAAGACCCACCTTCTCAGCCAGGCCTCTGAATTCCCCACCTGCTGGGGCCCCCTGTGGATATACTTTTTGGGGAAAATACTTTCAGGGGGAAAATTCCAACAGAGCAAATGGAGACCAGAGGATCAGAGAGTAACTTTTAGGAATGTGCACCATGTATTGGGTTCAGGGGAGTCTGTGTTATGGACATAGTCCTGTGAACATGCACAGAGGCCTAAACAGCTTTTGGGGGCGGTAGGGGATCTGAATTTGCTTGCTGTTTCCAGGCAGAGACTGTCTGTGAGCAGGTGGTGCAGGGGTTACTAACAGTTCTTTTCAGTTTGCCAATGCACTTCTCATTGATTCGTGGGAAATGTGTGTGAACATGAGTTGGATACTTCTAGTCCTTGAGGAGCCTCATTGCAGCCTCTCCCCAGGACTGGCGCGGTACGGTCCACTCTACATAGGCATTACTGGTGTTCTTGACCACTTGCTGCCAGAATCACCCAACATGGGATATTTCAAAACACAGACATAGAAACACAGGGCTTGTGCTTTCCAGATGATTAGAAATAAATAGGTGGGACATCCTTTCCTGGAGTCCCTCTGCATTTCCATAAACAAACAAATCAATGAGGCGATGGTGAATATTGGTCATGCTTCTTATTAAAATGCAGGGGGGAAAATAAATAATCACAACACTGTATCCAGATAGCAACTGAAAAGATGCCTGTGCGTTTGTTTCCCTTTTGAGCTCAGTTCTTCCTTTGTCTCCTATCAGGAGCAGCACCCACAGATGTCTGTGTACTTACTATGCTTTGCTTGTGCACTGACCTCATGACATTCTGTTTTAATTCAGGATGTGGCTGTACACAGAGAGGAATTGCTTTCTTGCATTTGATTTTACATTTCAAGTATGAGCTCCCTGACAGGGCCAGTCCCTGATGCACTTGGGCATAAAGGGTAGGACCACTGTCATGCAGTTGTGACAAAGTTGCAATCTCACCCCTAGTGAGACTGAGGCAAGAGCAGGGCTGGTGGTTTAGGAAGAAGGCAAAGCTGTCATTGTCATATAACAATGAAGGAGGGGAATCTCCAGTTACCTGATTTCCAGATGAAAGGATAAGGGGACATCTTGATATAAAAGCAATAGATACTTTATTGGACTATACACAGGTCCTCTTTTCTAAAGTGGTTTATTCTGAATGTGTCTTTCTTTCAAACATAAGCTCCAAGCCATGAACTAGGAGTAGCCTGTATATTTCATCTGGGTTCTGAGGCCAGAAGCTACTCTGTTTACTAGTAAAGGCCTTTGTTTATACTGGACTCTAGGAAAGAGGCTAAATTGGGTGGGGTCACATAAACAACGAATTTTTGGTTTGAATGAGGGTTTGTATAAACTCCCATTTTGGGACCCCTTCTTAACTTTGTGTATTAAGGATTTAAGTGACTTAGAAGACTATTACTTAAACTCTTTCTGTGGCAGGAAAATCAGTATAGCATCTGCAGTCATAACTGTTCAGATGAATGATCATAACATACACTGTAAATGTAATAGTTAAAGGGAGGAATGGAAAAGATCGTCATTATTGGCTGTTAGAGCCTTTACTTTTTTCCTGAAGGGGCACCACTATGAACTGGCAGCCTTAACCCACGGCCTTTTCCAACCATATCACAGGTTGGGCCAAACAGCTTCCTTTTCCTCTCGTGTAACCATACAGCCATCATACTCACCTCAGGCATTTGGCCCTTATTTCTTATAATGTTATTGTTTTGAAAAGCAATTTATAAATTAACTCAGTGCAGTTTCATTTTAATATTTGTGGGTGAACTTCAAATACATAAATTGATAAACCAGATCATGCTTCCTAATCAGAGCCTCAGGAGAAATGTCATTGCTCTTTTCTATAACTTCAGGGTTTTTTTAAAGCAATGGGAAAGAAATCTAAAGTTTTGTAGTAAAATGCTCGAAAAACTATTCCTCAAACTCACATCACTCAATCACAGTACTAGATAGAGGCATATGTAAGAGATCTCAGCTGATGTGTAAACAACTCATGACTAGGACTCGGTTTCTTATCAGTCCTCCTGTTGGCAGCTTAGAAATGTAAGATACCTCACTGCCCCTTTCCTACTTGCTGCCACATTCTCTCAGCAATCCAATATGCAGAGCATGTGCCAATTTTGTCACACCATCTGCCTTATTTCATTGACAATGCAGTGAGTTTGTCTTAACTAGCCAAAACATTCCAGATGTACTGCAAGCCTACTAAGAGAGAGTTAATATGGAACTTGCATGGGGATATTAGTGGTGTAAGTGACATGTATTCAACATGTTCCGCACTGCTCTGCTTGGTGCAGCTGTTCACATGTGTGACACCCAGTCTCCACTGGACCAGTTTGCTGCAGAGACAGCGTCTATCCCATCAGATAAAGACAGCCCAGCAGAGACAGAAAATGCATTCAGAATGTGGCACAGAACAGTAACTGTCTCTTACCTTGCATCGTCGCTCTCGTTGGTTCTGAAAACAGAGGGATGAGCAAGAGGTAGATGAGGTAGACGAAGGAGAGTCCATTGTACCGGAATGCACATGCTGTGGGTAGAGAGAGAGAAGAGAAAAAATGAGTTAATAAGGTAGGCTAACAGGATATAAGCAACTGTGTGGTGATAGCATCAAGTATCGCTGGGTCAAGCTAAGTAGATATGTCAATTAAGAAGTAAAAATTGAGCATTTATTCTGTGTTCGTTACTATGTGGAGGATGATGAAAAATGGAGAATTAAATGCATGGCCCCTGCTCTTCAAATCTAACCAGGAAGGCAACACCAATGTACCTGAATGAAGGCAGGTCATAAATAAGTCAAAAAATAAGTAAGCAAATTAAAATTGCTACAAAAATATAGAGGGAAATGGAATTAGTGAGAGTTTGAGGTGTCAAGGTTATCAATGGAAGCGATAATGCTGAAGAAAAGAGAACAATATTGGTTAAATGTTCTATGGCAGGGCTTGATACTCAGTTAATCCTCATTTTATAAGTACTCTCAGGCTCAGCAAGACTCGGTCACTAACCTGATTCTCCCAGTTAGGATGTGACTAAGGCAGAACTTAATTCAGACTGCAAGCCTGTGCCTGTACCTTTTATCACTCATCTTATAAGTAGCCCAAAACTCCAGTTCCTCCAAGTTCCCATTTCCTCACCTGTGAAATGGGTATAATAACTGTCTCTAACTTGATGAGCTTATGCTATGGAAGCTGGCAGTGGAAGAGGCAAAAGAAGGGAAAGTAAGGATAGTATGGTAGGGGAGGAAGAAATCAACAAAAAGAGCTCTTTATCTCAAGGTGGTCATGCATGTATTTGTAGCTTTGATAACATAACTGACATTCTCAACCTCCTTTGTGAAAGATATAAAGCGGGAACAAGTGTTCACACTATTGAATGTACTGACAGGAAAATACATAAATGAGATAATATAGAAGAATAAGAACATGTGTCTGACTCATACAACTTAACAAAAGGAAGATAAATAATCCAATCAAAAAGTGGACAATGGACCTAAATAGATATTTTTCAAAAGATGACATACAGAAGGCCAAGAGACATATGAAAACATGCTCAAACTCACTAATCATCTGAAATATGCAAATCAAAACGACAATGCAGTACCATCTCACACCTGTCATAATGGCTATCATCAACAAATCAACAAACAACAAGTGCTGGTGAGGATTGGAACCCTCATGCACTGTTGGTAGGAATGCAGACTGGTGCAGCCACTGTGGAGAACAGTATGGAGTTTCCTCAAAACACTAAATAATGGAAATCCCATTTGACCCAGTGATCCCACTTCTAGGAATATATCCCAAGAAACTAGAAACACCAATCAGAAAGGATATATGCACTCCTATGTTCATAGCAGCACAATTTATCATAGCTAAGATTTGGAAACAGCTTAAGTACCCATCAGCAGATAAGTGGATTAAAAATATGTGGTACATTTACACAATGAAATACTACACTATGGTAAAAATAAATAAATAAATAAATAAATAAGGAGCTCTTACCATTTGCAACAGCATGGATGGAACTAGAGAGCATTATGCTAAGTGAAATAAGCCAGTCAGAGAAAGATAAATATCACATGATCTCACTCATTTGTGGAATATAATGAACAACATAAACTGATGAAGGAAAACAGATCCAGAGACAGAGAAGCATCGACTAGTCTGTCAAACCTCAGAGGGAAGGTAGGGGAAGGTGAGGGGGAAGGGGGAGAGATCAACCAAAGAACTTATATGCATACATATAAGTATAATCAATGGACAGAGACACGGGGGGGGGGGGGGGAGGAGAGGGGAGAGGGTGTGAGTCAGGGTGGTGGGGGATGGGGGAATGGGAGGGGAATAAGGACACATATGTAATACCTTAATCAATAAATTTAAAAAGATTATACATCTGAATTGCCTTTATAGCTTCCCTCCCCACCCCCCTTCTGCTTCTTATTTCTCATCCAGAGTTGAAGTTCTCTAAAAGCAATCCAAAGGTATTTGGTTATTCATTCAGTCAATATTTATTGAGCATCTCCCATGTGCCAGGACCATCAAAGATCCCTTCCTGCCTCCGGAAGCTTACGTTTTGGTGGGGAGATGTATGATGAACAATAAAAGGTCAATTACATGTGTTGGAAGATAAGGGTTACGTAAACAAGAAGTCAGCAGGAAAAGAGGGACCCCCGGTACAATGGGTGAGGCGGCCAGTGGCAGCATCCATTAGGAACACGGAAGATAGACCTCGATGAGAAAGTGCAATTTGAGCCAAGAGGTGAGCTAAGGGAGTGAGCTGGCCAAGCCACCTCGTGTCAGGCAGAATCAGTGGCTCAAGTCAAGGCCCTAGAGCAGAAGCTGACCTGGCCTGTCTGATCTGCCCACGACAGGGGAGGCCAGTGCGCAGCCGAGTCCTGGATTGGGCCCGATTATGCAGGCCTGTCAAGGGGTCAGAGGATGGTGGTTTTACTCTGAGATGTTAATTCAGTGACAGGTCTTCCTCTTGGCTCAAGGTTGCAGACCTGCCTCCTGCCTGTGCCTGCAGCTTCCTTTCCACTCAGGCACATTCGATGCTCTGTGCTGCCGTGCAACTCAACAGCCAGCTCTTTCCATCTGCTCTGCTGCTTCCTGCCTTTAGACCTTCCAGGCACCATTCCCTCCCTCCTCCTAGAACATCTTCCTGTCCTTCCGATCAGGCATATTCCCACACAGCTCACCTGTTTCCTCCTACGGGAAGTTGTCCACATCCATGACCTCCCCCAAACAGAAGTGTTCTTCCCTCCTTGGTGCCTCTTCCAGAGCACCTCTCCTTCAATGCCTCATGCCTCTGTGTGTGTCTGTGGCCGTGCCTGTTTTGTCCAGTGCCCTGTGCTCAGGAGATGCTCATGCTCACAGAAGGAATGAATAAATGAATGAGATGAAATAAAAAAGATGCGAGGGCATCTAAAAAGGAAATTAGGGTATTCAGGTGTACAACATTCTTGGTACCATAGAAACATCACAACTGACATTGCCCAAAATAAACATTTAATCAACTAGAGTATTTCTTTTGTTTTTATACTTAAGGTGTTTTGTTTTGTTTTTTTATGATGATTTATATTATGAAGCAGATTACCTAACTCTGTGCATTCCTGGGTAAAGAGAAAAATTACTTATATAATTGCATTGCTTTGAAGTAGCATTCATAGTGCACTCATCAGCTGTGGACTTGTATCTGTAATGACTTACACCAATGAGCCTGCTGTGTGTCAAGCCCTGATCTGGGCACTACACATACATCAACTCATACCATTACTGTCCTCCCTTTACAGACACTGTTTTATTCTCTTGCTACACATGAAAAAGCAGGCACGAGGAGAAAGCATGCTGAGTGCAAGCACAGCTAAGTAACAGGCTGAAGATTGAGCCTGGGAGTCTAGTTCCTGAGTCTGCGTCATCATCAGAAATCCTCTGGGCCTCATCACTGCTGCACATCCCTACCTGTCTGCCTCCTCCCTGTTTAACTGCCAAGGGCTCAAGGAGCAATGCCTTCCTCCCACAGGTTGACAAACACTCTGTATGTACTTTGCTATTTTATATTTATAACCCTTTTCTGTAAGGTTTTATATTATGCATAGTAGACATGTGTATACAGAGGATATTTCTGACGGTTAACTTTGAAGGAGGGAGAAAGGAGTATACTCTTGGTTTCTCACAACACAACCTTTATTTATAGGAAAATCTAAAGAGGAGTGGCCCATGGTGGTAGGCACCCTGTAAGTAGCCCCCAATAAAAGTCCCCTGGTTGCAACACTAGTGAGTAAGCCCTGCTCTTGAGTGTGGGCTGGAGCTGGTGACTCACTGCCAGGGAACAGACAAAGTGTCCAGATCCCATCTGGTGGCTTCTGTCCTGGCCATCCCCTCTGCCTTTATTCCTGCTCATTCTGAGAGAAGACTGCTGTCAGTGAAGAGGCTCATGTGGCAAAAAACATATCTCTAGCCAGTAGCTAGCCCTCACCAACCAACGGCCACAAGTTACTAGTAGCTTAGAAACCGGTCCTGGGAGGACTGTGCCCTAACCAACCTCTTGACTGCAGCCTGTCAGAGCGCCTGAGCCATTCCTGACTCCCAGAAACTCTGAGATAGTGTTTGTTGCTTTAAGAGACAAAATATTTGGGTAATTTGTATGTAGCAATAGGTGATTAATACAAACTTAAAAAAACTTAATCCACCTCTAAAAATCCAACTTCATTTATGTTTTAGTCTGAAATTATGCCATTTGATGACAATGGCCAAATTGCTAAATTCCCCACTTTAATATGCTTAAAGTTGCTACCCAGGAACTACCCAAGCATATGGGGACTTTGCCATATCTAAGTGAGTTATCCCATCTAGGGCAAAATATGCTTTTAAACTTGTCAATAAGGCACATCCTATATAATAAAACCCTAATATGCAAATCAACTGAATGGCAGAAAGGCTGGTCACTATGATATGCATTGACCACCAGGGGGCAGATGCTCAACCCAGGAGCTGCCCCGTGTGTGGTGGTCTTTGCACTTCCATAGGGGGAGTGCTGCTAGTTCAGAAGCTGGACTCACAACAGGGAAGGGCAGAGGGGATGGCAGGAGCCTCCCCAGTCTCCAAGGCAGTACTAAGGGGATGTCCAACTGCCAGCTTAGGCCCGCTCCCCCAAGGGGTCCCCGACTGTGAGAGGGTGCAGGCTGGGCTGAGGGCCCGCCTCCCCAATGCACAAATGTCATGCACCGGGCTGCTAGTCTGAGCATAAAAAGCCTTAGAATGCAAATAGCAGCTGTTCCTTTATCAAGTGAGATATTGCCTTTGTTCAGGACCTGGTGACACTTCTTGCATATTCATTACTCTTCCTAAGGAGCTTCATATTATGGCTGCACAATGTTCCTGATTCCCCAAACCTCTCTCATGGACAGTCAAGTCACCGGGACCTCTGTCCTCTGCCTCAAGAATTTTACTGTTGAGCCGAAACCGGTTTGGCTCAGTGGTAGAGCGTCGGTCTACAGACTGAAAGGTCCTGGGTTCGATTCTGGTGAGGGGC